GAAAAGGAATCTTCAGCAAAAGACAAATGGATCATGATGTTTAATGGTGCTTCTAATGCGCTTGGACACGGGATTGGTGCTATATTGATTTCTCCAGAGAAGCAATATATCCCAATCGCAGCTAGATTATCATTTCATTGTACAAATAATATAGCTAAATATGAAGCATATGCTATGGGAATTTAAGCAGCTATAGAATCAAAGATCAAAATTCTTGAAGTGTATGGTGACTCAGCTTTGGTCATCCACCAGCTGAAAGGTGGATAGGATACTCGAGATGTAAAATTGATCCCTTATGAAGCCTATATCAGAGAACTGGTGAAGTATTTTGATGAAATTACTTTTCAACACATTCCTCATGAAGAGAACCAATTGGCTTATGCTTTAGCTACTTTGTCATCAATATTTGTAATGAGTCAGAAAGAGGACATGTCACTCATAAAAATGTAACAACTTGATCATTCTGCTTACTGTCAAATGATTGAAGAGGAATTTGATGGTAAATCCTGGTACCGTGACATTAAGAGTTACCTAAAGAACCAAGAATACCCATTAAATGTTGCTGAAAATGACAACAAAACACTAAGGAGATTAGTAATGAGTTTCTTTTTGAATGGAGATGTGCTATACAAAAGGAATCATGATATGGTTCTACTCAAATGTGTGGATGCTTCAAAAGCACGAAAAATCATGGTAGAGATTCATGAAGGTTCATTTGGGACTCATGCCAATAGGTATGCCATGGCAAAGAAGATTCTCACGACTGGATATTATTGGTTGACAATCGAGGTGAATTGCTTTTGTTAATTGAAGACATATCATAAGTGCCAAACATATGCTGAAAATATTAATGTTCCCTCCAACAACTTTGAATGTCTTATCATTGCCCTGACCTTTCTCAATGTGGAGAATTGATGTTATTAGACCCATTAAACCTAAAGTCTCTAATAGTCACCGCTTCATTCTTGTTGCCATTAACTATTTCACAAAATAGGTCGAGGTTGCCTCATATGCTAATAAGTCGAAATGTGGTGGTGAGATTCATTAAAAAAGACTTGATATATTGGTATGACCTCCTAAGCAAGTTGATAATAGACAACGTCACTAATTTTAATAATAAAATGATGAAAGAATTATGTGACAATTTCAAGATTCAACATCATAATTCCTCCTCCTATTGTCCAAAGATGAATGGGACGATTGAAGCAGCCAATAAAAATATTAAGAAGATCATTCAAAAGATGGTGGTGACATAAAAGGATTGACATGAAATGTTGGCATTTGCCTTATATGGATATCGAACATCAGTTCGTACCTCAACTGGGGCAACTTCATACTCTTTGGTATATGGAATGGAGGCAGTACTTCCTCTTGAGGTTGAAATTCTTTCTTTAAGAGTAATGATGGAGACCAAATTGTAGGAGGCAGAATGGGTTCAATATTATTGCAATCAATTGAATCTCATTAAAGGAAAATGGTTAGATGCATTATGTCATGGTCAACTATACCAAGGAAAGATCAAGAAAGCTTTTGACAAAAAGGTTCATCCACGAGAATTCAATGAGAAAAATATGGTGCTAAAAAAGATTTTGCCAATACACAAAGATTATTGCGGCAAGTAGTCTCCAAATTATAAAGGACCCTACATGGTGAAAAAGGCTTTCTCAGGACGAGCTTTGATCCTCATAAACATGGATGGAGAAGATCTTCCAAACCTCAGTCAAAAAATAATATGCTTAAAAAATAATAAAAAAAAAAGAAGAAAAAAGAAAAGAAAAAAAATAGCTCGGTAGGTTGAAAACCAGAAAGGGCGACTTGGCAAAATTTAGAGCGACCTAGTGAGTTGAAAATTTGAAAGAGCGGCTTAGGCAAAAGTTAAGGTTAAATAAATTTTGCACTAAACTGAAAACCTAAAAGGTCAGTTTAGAAGAAACGTGCACCAAACTTTAGTTGCAAGAAAGTGCTTCAAATTTGGGCAATATGATGGACTGGAACACTAAAATGGGGCAATTTTGAGAAGTTGAAGTTGAATCGAACAGGAGATGAGTTCAAATATCTTATTGGGGCAATTTTATTTGGCAGTTTTGTTAATAGGTGATCAATTTACATGATAGACTAGCATTGTTCATCTGAAAGATGTCATTTAATTAGCATAATGCTTCATTATTTTTGTAGTCATTCTAATCCTTTGTTTGATGTATTTATTTTTCCATTACTCATGTCATAAGTCTTATTTGTAAGTTCACCATTTATTTATTATAGTGATCCTGTATTCTTAAAAAAATATGTCTCTGGCTTTTGTCACCTTTCACTCAGTTTATACACCACTTCGTTTACTCAAACTCTTCAACAACATTAACCAACAATTATATTATCATTTTAGTAAGTATATACTAAAAGGAAGCATGTAAATTGTTAAAAGGGTAATAAGAAAATACAATTACAATAATAAGTTTTAAAAATTCACACAATAAGTCTGGTCAATTTTCTAATAAGTTCAATGTGGCAGAAGAAGTTGACTCCTTATGACAACTCAAAAATAAATAGCAACCCAATTTGATTGATGCCTCACCCAACTCTAGTTTCATGAAAGAATTGATCGAGACAAAAATCTCACTTATTTAGAAACTTTGACATGTTACTTCTGATAAGGATTGGGAAATTTGAATCCCCAAAAAAAAAGGTTTGTTTAGATCTCATCCCATCATTTGGCATCATCATGCATTAACTTTTTCTCCAAATGTTAACATTCATTTAGTTTATTCAAAGACATCATTACATTAGCATGCAATTATCATTATTTATTGTTGCCATTTAAAGCTCAGTTTAAGCTTAGTGCCTGTCTTACAACTCTCATTCCTAGGTCCAAGATCTGACTAGGTACTTTACCTTTCACCAAAATTCAAAAATTGATTGATCTCTTTACTTTTCTATTTTACTCTTATTGTTAAGGTCTGAGGTTGTCGGACCTTTTATTTTCTGTTAAGTTATAAACCTGACTAGTTTTCTTTGTGTTTCTTGTCAAAATCTCCTTAGTTTTCTATCAAAGTCCAAAACTTAATTTGCATATTTTTATTTTATGTCAAAATCTAGAACCTGACTGACACCTTTTAAATTTCTGTCAAAGTTTAGAACCTGACCGACATCTTTTACTTTTCTGCCAAAATCCATAACCTATCTGACACTTTTTAATTTTTCTGTCAAAGTCCAGAACTTAACTGACACCTCTTGCTTTTCTATCAAAATCCAAAACTAAACTGACACCTTTTACCTTTTTGTCAAAGTCCAAATCCTGACTAGCACTTTTTACTTTTCTGTCAAGGCTGAACTGCAAATAATTACAATAAAAATTCCAAATACAAAACCTATATTTTAAGCCTAAACTTCTAAAATTAATTAAAAATAGGACTCCAAACAACATGATCCATATGTCCAAATTAAAGTCCAGAAAGTCAGGATCCATTGCAAAAAGAATCAGCCAAAAGGGATGTCTCTAAAATAAATTATGGTCAAAATAGTAGACAAAGGTCAAAATAGAGAAAAATATGAAATACAAGGTAAAGATAGTAAGTATTTACAAAAATTCCTATTTAATGCGAGAAATGCAAAAACGTGCTAATGAAAGAAATAAAGAAAGAAAAGGTATTTTGAAAGATCCAATAAAACTATAAATGTGAGTACAAAATATGAGTCATAAGTAACCTTTGTTTTTAGTCAAAGTTTAATGTTGACTCACAATTTTGTTTAACACAAATCACCATAAATCAGGGCTCCTCTGACAGCCACTCGTGTTACAGCTAAATGTTCCCTATATTTGTCTTTGCATCCCTGGTGAACTCATATAAATACACAAATAAGAAATCTGGTGGGGTTTTTTCTCTAAAAGGGAGCAAAAAAAATTTTGGAGAGGGAACAACAAGTTTTTAGAGGGAAGGAAAGTAAAAATCCTAAGAGGTAAGAAAAATTATTTTAGCGAGAAAGATATGAGAAGAAGAGATATGAAATAAAGAACAAACATTTCAGAAGAGAAGAATACTAAGAAAGAAGAACGCAAAAATAGAAGTGAGCACAACCAAAAGGAAGAAAAAGAAAAAAAAATAAAGTAGAAAGGAAAATCAAAAGCTAAAAGAAGAGGAAAAAATCACACCATTTAGTCTCCATAATCTTCATTTCCAATTCAGATATGAAACATTTGCTAACTGCATTCAATGTTTTTTTTTTCTTTGCATATAGAACTCATTTTGCTCTAAACATGTTCTAAACTCCTGAAAAAAATGAACAGTAGAATAAAGACTAAGTGATATAAGTATAGAATTACTAACTGGACCGTTTGTAAAGTTTCGTATCTTTTTTCTATTTTTTTTAGTAATATATTATTATTATTATAATGAGAAAAAGGAATTAGAAGTGATTACTTGACAATCAAGGTGTCAAAAGTCATTTGGCACTCAACATTAAGCTTTTGAGTATTCAATTATGTCAAGTTTCACTTTTGGCTCCTTTTTCCTTTTATATTTTTATTTTTATGATTATTTTAGATTTTTATTTTATTTTATTTTTTTATCCTTTTAACTTCTCTGATTTTTTAAAAGTATTTTATTTTTAAAAGATATTTTTCTTAAAACATTCTCGGCGTACAAAGATGTTTTCCTAACATTTTCAGCGTACGGTTACAATCGCCGTGTTGCAACAATGACTCGTATATTCACTCTCTCAAAAGTTATTCCTTACACCATACGTGACTAATTTACTTGCAAGTCTCAATTATCTCTACTTTCTTCATAGAATCATTTCTTAACCCCTGTACCCCTAACAAATCATTTATCTTGTCTTGGTCAATGATATTTCTCATCCTCGCAAGTCGTAATGCAACTCCCGAGTACCAATCAAACCAATCAAACACATCCTATTTCATCAGCAATTCATGACAATGAGAAGCTTATATAATCACATGTCACATAGAATTTTCGCTCTTCCAGTACCAATCAAACCAAATTTAAGCCACCGATCAAATTTTAACTATTGTTATTATATGCACATTACCTAATAAGTTTATACATAAATAACGAACAATTTCAAACACATCTGCTCATCATAACTGATCAAGAGACAAATGACACAACTTACATAATCAAATGCACATTTGATCATCATTCTAATCACAGAAATGTTAAATTTTACAACCTATCTTGTGCTGGTTGACTCCCATCAGCATCCCCAATTTCCCCTCCATCAAAGAATAACTGTACAAATAAATAATTTCATCGCGTGAAATGGGAGATGAATAACCACTGCTAAAACTTTTCCTTAAGGCCTTGACTATCATCACATTTCAGAAGTGCAATTCGCTGAGACCTTGAATAACCTTGCCTGTTATTAAGAATATCAATGTAACTCCGAAGCCTGTAACGATCTGAGTTTGTCAGTGAAAGTGGAGGATTAAGAATAAGGGATGGTCCTTCCACTAGAAGGAAAACTAACAGACGGACAGCTTTTGAATACAAAGCAGCTGCACTTTCCATTTCACCCATGAGCTCTTCCACCTGCCAACATGAGAACATAAGCTCATCTTGGATCACTAATTAAATCCTCAGGTTTATTTTAACATCCATAAAATGTCTAAACATCCTTAATTTGGTATAATTGCGACATGGCACCTTTTCTCTTTTATTTAGGTATATAGATGTTTAGTAGCACAGGAAGTCAATCCATTTTTAAGGTTAAGGTATGCCGCAAATCTCAACAATGGCTTGCTGTGGCACGTACAAATAACATAGCAAAGGAAGTTCACTAGCAGGAATTGAACCTGTCTATTACCACAAACTTCACAAACAAAAGAGAATCTAAAACGGCCAAAAAATAGCTTAAAGAAACTAAAATTGTAGTTTTAATATGGATTCTATAGTTCAGACCAAATTGATGAAATGAGAAGCACAAAGAAATACTTACACCCCCATGTCTCCCAAAAGCAAGGGCAGCTTGAAAAATAGTCTCCATTGCATCTGGCATCTCTGTGTTTCCTACAATCAAGACAAATATAAGCTTGTTATGATGGAAATTTGTGACATTTTAATAACACCATCGACATCCTTTTGCCTATGTTTTGGATCTGAACCAATGATAACTCATCAAGTGTACAGCATGCAAGCTATGCCGGTGTCTCTATTATGGCTTGTGATAGTTTTTTACCTAATATTTGAATATTATCATAGTTTTTTAAAAATATTTTTATATTAGGTAAACAATTAAACGAGTTTACAAGCTGAATCTCCAAATCAGGTTTATGGAACCATCATGAATTTACATTGACTTGTGTCAAACAACCTTGCAAAAATTGGCTGGCACAAACCAATATCTCATTATCAGAGTTAACAAAGACTTTCTTTCTAGGTCATCTCCAATAAGACTCTTGACAACATTTTTGCTACTATATCAGCTCATAAAAATCTAAAAGTTCAAATGTGAAAAATGATAAACTCTTCTATACATAGTAAGCATGGAAAGGAGAACCGAAACTTAGATCAGTAAAGATAAGTACTCAAGCATTGGTGCAGAAGATAGCTTCTTTTAAAAAAGGAAAGCAAGTTAACAACCAATCCAGCTCATAAACAAAAATAAATAAATAAAGTAATACCAGGCTCAACGGTCTTGGCAAGTTCTTCAGCGTGCTCAAATTCCCTCAAAAATTCACTTTCAATTTGAGATAATATATCCTTTGGCCCAAGGGTGTTTCCATCAAGGCATTCTTCTGAATGAGGACTACCATGCTTCTTGCTGGTGCTCCTCCTATATCTGGAAGTTTCTTGATTTGGACTTCCTTCCATGGCTGAGGCAGCTCGCGTATGGCATATGTGCAGTGCTTGCTTCCAAATTGCAAGAATTACAAGCTGAATAGAAAATGCTTCTAGATGCTTTCCAGCATCCATCTTTAATTTTTTGAGAGAAGATGGGGAGATGGAGCAATAAGGATAAGTATCATTAATATGATCACATAAATAAAAACTTAACATTTAGACCAGTTAATCTGCTTTAGATTATGCCAAAGGCAGTTGTATGAGACACATCATGGGAGACAAAAGTGAAACAGGGATTCAATCATTCCCACAACCCCACCAAAGGGGAAGTTCCATAGGCAAGTAGATAGTGCATAATGCATTACAACAACATGCTTCTAGCACAACACAAGGATGGGGTGAACAAAATGTGGTAGTAGGCATTATCTCACATTCACAGCTTTCAACAAAGCAATTTAAGATCAGGATCCAGCATTAACTGATCAACATTGAAAACGCCCTAACCTGTTGATTCATTCCATTACAATTTATATATAAAAAACCCAATAAAAATGCCTAGCTAACCTATTGTGTAAATAGAACGCATATGTCCATTATAAGAAATATGTTGTATCACACATACTACTAGACCATATAATCAATAGGATCCAGTAGTCAGTTGATACAGAGTGAATAACTGAATCATGATTTTCACATATGCACATTCCTCAAATTCAGTAGGAAGCTTCTAAGATAAAATTACAGTCACTGTATATAATCACAATAGTGAGGAAACTTATATCAACATTTACCTTTTCATTAACTAATTCCATGATGGCAGATGCACACTGTTGTAATGATTTTACCCTTGTCATGCAGTGAGCTGATGGCTGTTCATCACCAGTATCCATTGATCCATGTGAAGTTCCAGGAGCAGAATCTTGACTTCCTGAACTTCCAATTTGGTATACGCTACTGGCAGGTACACCAACTATTGGCATTGGAGCACTTAATCTAGTGATTGTATTAGAAGACTCTTTGGGGAAACTACCTGACTTATATGGAGAATGGCTCAGCTTTGAAGCACTCACTGAAGAAGATGAAGCATCCATAGGGGGGCCAGACACAAGAACATATTCTTGATCAATATTCTCTAGTGAATCTATAACTGCCACATTCATACAACAAATATAAGCAGTATTACACATAATTGTGAAAAGCATGCCCTAAACCTAGCCATAAATTTTATTGTGGGCTTGTGGTATTACCTTTTGGATAAGGGCTAGCAAATATCTGTTCTGGAGATTCCAGAGGATCAGTGAGATTTCTTCCTGAAATTTTATGGTTGTCCAATCTTTGTGTAGGGTTTTCAGATCTTTGTGCTATACTACCATATTTGGAAGTACAATTTTTGTTATTAGAGATAGGAGATGCTGACTCTGCTTTATCTAATTTAGTATTTAGATCAAATCCATAAGTAGACTTCATTAAGGACTTCTTCCTTGAAAAGGATGGGCTCCCCTCTGGGCCACTAGAATCATCATCTAAAATGAAAGGTAAGCAATCTTCTTGATAATTTTCTTCGGTTCGTCTCAAAGGGTCAGACACTGTAGAAGGAAACCCACCAACCAGCCTTGAAGAACTTTTATTCCTGCAAACACAAAATTATTTAAATCTGCAGTCCGAAAAAGCATAATAACAATAAATTCTAAGAGCCTTGGTTTTTACCTCAGTGGTTCTTCATGTTCTGTTAGCTTCTGAGAAAGGAATGGATGGTTAAAGAATTCTTCAAAAGTTAGACGTTCCACTGAAATTAAAAAGATACAGAAAAATGTATCAGCATAATATATAATGTATACTGAAGATCTATAAACTTATACAACCCCTTTTCCTTGTTTCTCTCACACAAAACTGTTAAAAATGTAGAGCATGAAGTGTTGTAGTTTGGAGCAGAAAATTTCCCTAAATTTATATTAGAAATTAGAAACTAGAAATTATAACAAGCAAATTTTATCAATCAATCATCACTCAATCAAACTCAAAGTCTCCAACTATTCACCTATAATCACTCCCCAAATTAACCACCCCTTGAATTTGGGGGCAATCCTTCTTTTATTAATCAGACTCTCCATGAAAGTTGCCTTGCCCATACTCCTAACAATGAGCAATAAGTTACCTTCACAAAAGAACCCTTGCATCACGTAGTTGCGTATCCACATCTCACGCAAATAATAAAAAATAAGCATTTTTCTGTCAAGTGGTCTGATATACATTAGCAAAAAGGACAAATAAAAATAACCTTCAAATTTTGTTAGCACAGTATTGTTTTAGACAACCCACTAATTAGTTAATTACATTAGTGATTTATTTAGTTAGGTTAATGGGCTGAAATAGTTTAAACAAGGCATGTTTGCTATAAGAGAGGAGGTGGAGAGAGAGATCATTTGAGTGAATTGGGCCCTTGGGGACTGGAACATGCAGACCCTTCAAGTTTTGTAGTGTGTGTGTGTTCAATTCTGTAAATTGAAGAGTTCTTCCCCACTCTTCTTAATTAAGATAGCAATTTTCTATCATACTGGTCAGCAGGAGGATTATTTCAGTTATCTTAAAAGCCTGATCATCATGGAAAATTAGAAATGTTGACACAATTTGGTTGAGAAGGAGCTCTCACACTGATGGTAACCAAAGCAAATCTATTTTCACATAGGCAAGTTCAAAACATGACATGCACTTCGCTTACCCTTTCAAACAAAGCTAGTTTAAAGGCAGTTAGTCTCATAAATGACTCTGAGGAATTCTCAAACCATATCAAAGAAGTTAGAGTGTGATTCAAAACATGACAGCATCTCCAAAATCATGTTTAGTGGATGCAAACATGCTTTAATTATTGGGCCAACATGTTTGGTTGGTTTGAACCAAAATTGATTTTGCCTATTAAAGAGATATGTTTGAGATGACGTGTAAAATTATAGCTTTGAAATTGAGTTGAAAAATTTATTCCAAATTTCATTGTTTTACTTCCAAGAGAAAATTTTCAAAACATAAATCACATCACTTTAAACTCACTTTAAAGCAAAATCAATTCTACAAGATTAATTTCATTCAAACTCAAGTTTGCAAACACTCAACAAAACTTATGCTAACAATGATTAAATAATTACCAGTGATACTGTTAAATATCTTAAAAAGGTACACAAGTCCACACTTCGTTCGTCTCAGATTTCAATCTACAACAAAATCAATTATACCTGGATTACGACGTAGCAATTTGTGGCACAAATCTTTGCATTCAGAACTCAGACTTGCATTATCAGATGGAAACTTCAATTCTGTTGATTTCATAATGTTCTGTAGTAACTGCAGAGTTCATGATTGTAGGTTACATAAAGTTAATTAAGAAGGCCAAGAGTCATACATAGTTGGAAGACAACACTACAGATGGTAGCATCAAACTAAATAGGTTATTGATCAGTAAGAACTACTTTGTTTGAATTGAGAGAATATCCCAGAAGACTAAAAAAGGGGGCATGAATATCAATTCTATACCTGTATTTGATTGTTTCCAGTAAAAGGTGTTCGTCCAGTAACAAGCTGAAATAAGATTGCACCAACACTCCAGAGATCTGCCTGCGTGTTTAATTTAAGATAAATAGAAAGGAAACCAACCATGAACACTTTGCTATTCCAAAGATATTATTAAAAAGCAAAAATCACCTTAGCATCATACTTCTGCAGTTGCATGATTTCTGGAGCCATGTAGAGTGGTGAACCACACAAAGTTTCTGCAAGGCCCCTAGGTTGCAGTGATCTGCCCAAGATAATTGTTCTTTAGAGATAAATTATAGAAAGGAGCACAGAAAGAGCCTTTTTCCAGAAAGAATACCCAGAAATTTGAAAGCCAAAAAGATACACACAGGAAAAACAGAAAAATATGTTAAAGCAAGCAGGGTAATTTATAAGTAGAAGATATCACAATATAAAGACTTACAAATTTCTGGGAGCTTTATACTCAAACTTCTTTAAATTATGACGATCAATACATTGAAGTATTGAACTAGTTTAAAATTATACTTTCACTAATTATCTTTGGTAAAATATTGAGCCACATACATACAGAGAAATACTTTTTAAAAACAAATGGATTTTTACGAGGCCTTTATCAGGGTTAGATTCTCACACATAAATGAAATAGAAATAATTAGGCTACCTTGCAAATCCAAAGTCAGCAATCTTCAGCACTGACTTCTCATCATTTCTGGAGAGAAGAAGGTTCTGTTTCAAGGATGATAAGCATTACCAACACTTAGATAAAATAACATGCAACCTTCATGCAAAGATTAAAATATTATATAGAAGGGCACCAGCTAGGATTCTGAACTAATGAGTCATAATCCAATTGATAAGCATTCATGCTTGCTATAAGGATTAGAATCAAACAAAAAACCTGTGGTTTCAAGTCTCGATGAATAAGGTTATTATCCCGAAGAACTTGAAGGCCAGCAGCTGTAACAAAGAATTGTCCATTATTACTAGAACATTTAAAACAAATGCAATCATTTACAGTTGAAACATACCCAACTGCTGCATAAAATGCTTTGCAGTTGCCTCAAGTACCCTTCCATGGCGTTGAATATACAAAGAAAGATCTCCCCCTTTACAGTACTCTAACACAAGATGTATCTTCCCAGGCACCTACATAAAATGAATGACACTTCTAAGCAGGACTCTCTTGATGCATATTAGAATGCATATTTCATTTGGTATTACACTTACGACCAATAATAATTTCACCCAGATCAATCTATTCATAAGAATATTAAGTGCTAAATTTCTTATTCAAAACTCATAATTCTGGTTTTGAATAAAATCATCCAGACCTTACTAAACCATCACTCATACCCTATGAGACAACCATATTCCATTTGCCATCAGCGCAAAATAAAACCAGCCGAGAACCAATATCAGGCAACTCAACTAATCATGTAACTATGGAAGGCTACCCTTTTGTATGTATTATATTTAGAAGCATATTAAACATTTTAAACAACCAATGCGATTTCACAATCAAATAGTCATTATCGCTCTTTCAACTCTTCTTTCCAACATTAAACCAAACATTAACCAAGCCATCCTTCCTGATCATGAACCCCTCAATTCAACCAAACAGCAATTGCATCATAGTTTATATAGAGGGTTTTCAGATTGTTTTTCTCAAAAAGAGAAATAAGAAGTGACAGACTAGGTGCTGGTGGAATGCAGTTACAAACTTACACCCCAAAAGCAAATTCCTATATATACACACACTTCCCGCATGTTCGGTTTACCTTTTCACTTCCACACTGTGTTTTAGTCTCATCCCGCTGCACTTTTTCGAAGGATTTTTTTCTTCCTTTTGTCAAAGGGCAGATTGCCAACACTCTCAAAGGAAACACGGTTCAAATTCTTCTAGTTCCTACCCAAGAGATACCATACCAATTTCAAAATTACCAAAGTTATCACACATTTTGAAGATCATAAAACAGCACTATTTCACTGTAAAGTAAAAAAATAATTAAAAAAAAACGCTCCGCTGATAAATTTCCATAACTTTGCAGACAATTTAATTAAAACAGAAAAAAAAAACAAAAACAAAAACAAAAACAAAATCCTCTTACTATAATACTTTAAAAATATTATCAATCACACAATAAACTCAGATTAAATTAAATATAACTAAGACCCCAAACCAAATTAGATTCCACTAACAAATAAAATCTACAAATTCCGCAGTGTAAAAATGAAACATCCACAAAAAAATTTTCGAAACTTCACCTGAATGATATCGTGCAAACAGATTATATTAGGATGATTAATTTGCTTCAAGATGTAAATCTCAGACATAAGGCTCTCCTGCAACTTCTTGTTGAGGCGAAGCGTAGCGATCTCCTTAATCGCCACTTCGGTTCCGTGCACCTTGTGCCTCCCATGCCACACCACCGAGAACGACCCAGCGCCGATTTGCTTCCCGACGATGTAGTCTCCGACCACCCTGCTCCGCCCCGTCGCCTGAGCCATCGCCTCCGTACTCGAAACCCTAGAATCAAAACCCCGATACCAGAAAATGGATAAGAGATTCAAACGAAGGCTAATTCTTCAGCTTTTTATTAACGGAGATGACGATGATGGTTACAGAAAACTTAGGGGTTGATTAACTGAAGAAATTTTATTGTTGGTTTGAATGCGAGGGTGCTTTTGAATTGAGACACTTTACTTTAGTGAATTATCGTTATCAACACATTTTTTCTTTTAACTTTTAAGAGCTTTAGGTAGATTTTCTAAGCTTCAATTGATTACTTGTATTTAATTTTTTGCCATCAGAAATATTCTTGGAATTGATTAATTGAGAGAATTAACTATTTTATTTTAAATTGATTAATTAAAAAAATTAGACACTTTACTCAGTGTTACCATTTTTTTCACTTTTAAAGCGTTTTGGTAGACTTTTTAAACTTTAATTGGGTCCTGAATTTATTGGAATGAGTTAATAAAGAATTAAATTATTTTATTTTTAATATAAAAAATATTTAAAATTTTCACCGAGATGCGCTGGCGTCCATGTTCGAAGAACGTGAGAAGCCGTGAAGTGAAGAACAACGAAGGGATTTGGAGGAAGCAACGTTGCTATGCGCAGCTAATGTTAGTTGGGTGTACTAATCATTCCAAGTCTACCAAGGTTTATCTGTTTAAGTTCAAAAACGCGTAAATTAAAAAATAAAGAGTCTATTTATCAATTATTTAAAACTAATTATATTTATAAAATACTTAACTTTAAATTGATTCAGGTAGTTTTTCATTTTAAATTTTTCTCACTTTACAAAAAAATCCATCGGATGGAGCTCGTAAAATTCTCTTAAAATATAAAATTTGGACTTTAAATTTTAAATTTAATTAAGAAACTATTATTTAGAGTATTTTTTTTATTCGCATCACTTTTTATTTTAAATTTCTTTATAAATATGTTTAATATCTCTTAAAATTTAAATTTCAAAAGCAATTTATAAATGATTTTCAAATTTTAATTTTTGAAAGCTAAAAATATCACTTTTAAAATTTAATTTTTATAAGTGATTTGAAAATTGACTTTTAAAGCTTAATTTTTCAGAAATGTAAAATTATGTTTAGAATTTAAATTTTAAAATATATCTTTTAAAATTTAATTTTTATAAGTGATTTGAAAATTGACTTTTAAAGCTTAATTTTTCAGAAATGTAAAATTATGTTTAGAATTTAAATTTTAAAATATATAAAATATATTTTAAAAATTTAAGGTTGTATTTGAATTGAACAATTAAAATTAGAGTGTTTTTAGAGGAAATATTTAAAGTGAGTAATTTAAATTTTGAAAGAATTTATAGTTCTTTCAATTAAAATATTATGTTTGGATACCCAATTTTAAGGTATTCTAATATAAATATAACTTTGACAAGAAATTCTAATATATAATTTAAAATTTAAAATTCAACGTAAAGAGGGCGAGAATTTAGAACTGTTCATTAATAACCCATGTTCTTTGTTGTCACTTTGCGTTCTCTTTCAAGTTTCTCTCTCACTCTTTCTCTCTTTTATCTCCCTCATCATCTACATTTGCTTCTCTCTCTTAGATTCAGGTCTCTCTCTCGATTTTCTCTTGTTTTCCATTAAATTTAGCCTTTAAGTTTCATCTATGTATGTATTTTCTCTCGCTCATTTGCTTTCTCAAACATACCACTGAGACGAATGCACCCCTCTTCGTGAAAAAGAAAAGTGGCAAGTGGAGATCCTTTCCCTTTTCTCAAACATTGACTGGTTAGTAGACAATTCCTCACGATACCAATTCTTATCATTCATGGAGACATAAAAGGAACGTATCAAGGAATGATTAACCAAGTCCAGGAGACACGGTGGAAGTGTACGTAGATGACATCACTGACTTGGAGAAAGTTTGCAAAGCTCATGTTAACGAATGGACCTTGGCATGAGGACTGCTTATGAAGGCCAAAAACCAGTACTTCATCAGTGTTATTCATGAACAGATGTAATCACTGAGTTCATCAATTTTATAAAATATCCCAACACAGCGAAATCACCCTTTGTAAAAATGCAATTAAGTGATATTTAATAGCAAAATGATTCAAAATGAGTGATATTTTCTAGCATATATATCTAGCTAAATAATCTCTTAATTATCCTTTGTTTACATAAAACGTACATTAACTGTGTTTATAATCCACAAAATATTTGTTAAGTCTACTATAAATATCTTAGACATTAATAAATCCCAAAATAATCTACATTAATACTTTGATAAAAATAATTTTGTTGTCATCGGGAGACATGTCAAAAATCAATCATTGTTTTTTAAAATAAATATAATTTAAAAAAATTATAAATATAATTTTTTAAAATAATAACATTAATAATAATAATTATTATTATTATAATATAACATAAAAGTAAATAGGCTCTTTAAATTAAAATTTTATAATAATTGTTTTATTGTTGTATTACCATAATTATTTCATCATTTGGAATGCACCATATTCTATTAGATCTTATACGTATACGTGGCTTTCTATATTTTTATGGCATTTGATAATTTTTTGAATTTCTAAATAAAAAATAAATAATAATTCAAGATAGAAGTTAATTAATAAACTAAAAAAATTTAAAATAAAAAAAATACCTAAGAATACTTTACATATAATGTATTAAAAAAATTAACATAAAACACAAAAAAAAATATTAGCATTTCAAATGTCTTTCGCATAGTATTACCATTTTTAAAAAAAATATACATACAAGTAAGGTAATTACACGACATCAAAGATAGTTTTATAGCAAAATTAATAAAACACAAAAACTAATAAAGTATTACTAACCTTTAAGTATTTTTACATTGCATCTATGTCGTCCTCAAATATTTTTTTTCAATTATTAACTTGAAGTGATGCTTGTTGACATATACAAATAATTGCTTTAGACATTAAAAAAAATTGCATGCTTTTTACCAAATTTATAATATAGTGGAGAAAATTGGATATCAATATTTTTTTCCTTTGTTATTCTATTTGCTTTTTTCTTTTGAAGTTTTGTATTCATGGTATAGCCACACTTTTTTTTAATGATTTGCTTACTTAAAATAATTAATATAATAAAATAATAGCATAATTTTAACAATATTATTTTAACATTTTTAAAGAGCGTTGTATATTATCTATATTTATTTTAATTTGTTCAATGTTATCATCAGCACCATTAAAAGTATATATTGTTAAATTGGATATTGCCCACTTGTTTTTCAAAAGGAGGTATAGGTTGATCGTAAGACTTTTTTAGAATTCAATTTTAATAATTTCATCATCTAGCGATTACAAAAATTGACCAGAAAAATTAAATATGATATTTTATTTAAACTATTTACATACCTCTTATGTGATTTAAAAAACAAAGAGAGAGAAAGGGTTATATATATATATATATATATATATATATATATGAACAAAAGGAGAGAGGAGTAAAGATAGTAGTTACGTATAAAAACATGAAAAATTACTCCATGAGCATTTTTAAACTTAGGAGATGGTTGTAATTTTTATAATTTACCCTTTTGTGTATCCCTTTCTTTCATTTTTCTCACCTCCATTATTGTAACCTTGTAGCCACATTATAACCTAAAAAAAAATCATAATTTTTACTTGCATTTAATGTATACAGTAGAGAGTCAATTTATAGTCAAGTCTATGGTAGTACACTTCCATGTGGAGAAACAGAGTGACGATTCATTCTCCCATGAGACACTCTGAGAGAAAAGTGAGGGAGTACCCTACTGGTGTGTAAATTGCAAGAGCTTAAGAAGTTAATTACTCATTCTTTTTAGTGACTTTGATTCAATAATTTACCCTTTGGTTCTTTTCTTTCCTTCTTGGAGAACATCACTTAAAGATAATAATTTTTTTTAAAAAAAATGTTGTTTACTTCTTAACTATTGCTTGAGGACAAGCAAGGCTTAAGTATGAGGAGGTTGAAAAGCTCACATTTTGGTATACTTTTTGAGTATTTTTTATGAGCATTTATCAGTGGATTGAAGGAGTTTCTACATTAAATCCTCCATTAATTGTTGCAGGTAAGCATATATAGAGACTTACAAGAATTTTTGAGATACTGGGCACAAAATGGAGGAAATTTGGCAATTTAGAAGCAAGCACATCCAGTCCTCTCTCACTAGCACGCCCATGTTCTCATAACTGGACTACGCAACCCAAGAGTTCATATGAGTTGAGAGCTGAAAAACTTATAAAAGAGGAGGGAGGAAACGAGAGGAAACACTTTTTTGGCTGGAGAGATTTGGGCTCAAAGTTCTACGAACTTATCTCACGTCTTTCACTCGAATTCAATAATACAATCCTAAAGGCGTGTGTTGTGATTCTTGATTGAATTTCAATATTACTTATTTTGAAAGCTTTAAAACATTGTAATAGTACATCCCTTATGTTCAAACAATTCTACAAAGAAACTCTTAATAATTGAAAGATAATCCTTGTGGGACGATAATTCAGAAACTTAAATTAAGAATCCCTTATTACTTCTCGATGGGTACACTTGTCCTCTGAATAAGTTTTTGGCGCTATTGCCGGGGATTACTTTTTTTCAATATTAAGAAAATCTTACATTGAATTGATTTAAGCAAGTTTTGTTTTGATTTAATTTGTTTCATAATTTTTAGTGTATGCTCACTCATTCCAAGTATTCTGCAGCTTGCTTATTTGATCCAGAAATTGAAAGAACAACGCGTAAGCAAAGAAAAGAAGTGAAAGACCAAAGAATGGCAGAAAGATGAAGGACAATTCAAGATTATATGACATCCACTGCGAGGGGCACTCTTGGAAACATCATAGCCCCCATTGTGAAAGCCAATAATTTTGAACTAAAGCCAGCTTTGATCACCATGGTACAAAATTCCATCTAGTTTGGAGGCATGCTCAATGAAGATCCAAACCTCCATCAACAAAATTTCTCTTGCTAACTGATACCATCAAATACAACGGAGTCTCCAACGATGCTATCCGACTCCGTCTCTTTCCCTTTTCAGTATCAAAAAGGGTAAACGCATGATTCACCTCACTCCCTCCCAACTCCATCGCAACTTGGGAGGACGTCTCAGCATTTCTCAACTATTGTCATTCTTTTCCATATCCTTCTCATAGATCAACATGTCATAATACGTGAGTTTTGATCATATAACTTAATGTATTACAATACATGTATTATG